TAATCCTATATATACTCTCTATTATTGATGGAATAACACAACACAATTTCTTCTCTTTTTCTCTTATTCATAACATTTATGCATTATTTGCGAATCAATTTTGTTGTTGTTATAATTTTAGTTTGAATATTGAATCTCAAACATTTACATTCAAGAAAATCCTTTATATATTTAAGATTTGTATTTTTATTGAAATGGTAATTACTTTATGTTAGTCAAATATTACATTTAAGTTTTATCTATTTCTAATTAATTGTTGTTAATGAAAAGAATGGTATGATTTAATAATTTTGGATGTGATAAGAAGTAGTAGTAGTGGAACATTTTAGGAAAAGATACGATACTTCTGGTGGAATAAAACAAAACCTTTAAACTTAGAGCATTGACTATCTGAAATTTGATTTTATGCGATAATTAATGCAGTTCAGACTAAACTATGTTATCACTGGACAAAATTGAGTAAAATTCGTTTCACGATGGTTTCGAACCCACAATCTGCCGCTCCGAAGGCGAGCGCCTTATCCATTAGGCCACGCGAACTAATTGGTCCGTCTCCAAATGCAACAAAAACTTAGTTTCCTGAACTTCACCGGTTTTTTAAGTTCGTGCTTCTGTGCCCTACTGGCTCAACCATGGCTCTCGCGATATCTTCTGCTTATGTGTCCTCTTCCTCCACCATGGCTTTCGCCATATCCAACGCGTTTCGTTACCCTCTTCCTCAAATTGGTCACAGAAACTCTCATCTCACTCTTCGAACTTCCAAATCGCCTTCTTTTGTTAGGTACTTTCTCTTTCACTTGAATCGAATTCCAGTTTTGAGCTTTGAAATTGAAAGCTTTTTTTGGATTCAGCAGCCATAACATTTGTTTCATGAACTTACTGAGAAACCCCTTATATTGCCAATCAAATTCCGATTTTGAATGAGCTTCTACTTACAGCTGGCTACAAAGTTTATAACTTTCAATTGAAAGGAGTTCCATTGTTGTGCTCAACTCCGTTCAGACCATTTGCTTTCATTGTAATGAAGATGTTTTATGTTTTTCTTTTCAGGCTTCTTCCTGGAAGGGTGTTGCAGAGCAGGATTGTGATTCGTGCTGCTTCTTCTGCGGCTGGAAATCCACAGTCTGATGGTGACTTTAACCCATATGAGGTAATTGATCTCTGAGAGCCTTAGAAAAGGTTTTGTTTTGCTGGTCATTGTTTTGTTCTGTACTCCTCAAGACATGAGTGCATATACGTACTCAGGTTCTTGGTGTTAACCCTATAGAGGGATTTGATAAGATCAAGCAAACTTATGGAAGAAAACTTAAAGATGCTCAGAGGAATGGTGATGAAGCCACTGCTGCTCTAGTACGTTACCATTCTCTTTCCTTTAAGTCTTGTAAATGATGATTCTTTTTGTTTCTTGTTAACATGTCTCTGTTTTTCGTTTTGATAGCTTGAGAAAGCATATGATAAGCTCATGTATTCCCAGTTAATGGATAGGAAAAAGGGTGTGACTTTCGGTTCGTTTAAGGTATGTATTGCCTCCTCTTTCTTGCCATATGCTCTCTTGGACTCTATGGACTTTATTCTCTTAATCCTGGGTGAATTTTCATAATTCAGGTTTCCAAGGACATTAAATATGCTGATAAGCAGCCCATAATACCATGGGGTCCAAGGTAGAGATTCTTTATGCGTCTACGCAAATTATTTATTTTCATTCTTTAAGAGCATGTTATGATCATGTTTTACTGACCCATCTTGTTACAGGTATTCCAGGTCCCCCAGAAAGGATATGTTGATCAACCTAGCAATAGCAGCTGTGTTTGTAAGTATTTAAGAAGAATGAGGTTTGAGGATTATGTTGCTCTTTTCAGAAAGTCGATTTTGTTTTCCAACATCTGTACTGTACCCTTTATGAAATCAAGACATCATGCTTCAGTTTAAATGACTGGTTTCTCACACATCTATGCATATATGACATTTCAAAAATTTGAATCTCACAATCAAATATGAATATCTCTGTTCCTCTCTTTTTGCAGAGTGCATGGATTGCCATAAAACGTAATGTTGAATACAAACCGCTGCAGTTCATGTCTTTTGCATTCGTTTACAGAATTTTCGAGAAATTAAAATCCTTTGAAGGACCTTCAACTCCAACATATAACGTGAGTTTTAAAAACTTTTGAAGCCGTATGTTTTAATCTTGATAAGCATTGATGTTGACACTGGCTGCAGGAGGAAGGTGAAGAAAGTGGACGGGGACTGAGAATGGGAAAGAGGCTTCTTCGTTCTCTTTCATTAGTTTTCGGCTCTATACTTGTGGCATCTTTGGTATGTATAACTATCAAAACTCCACTATAAATAATCTGTTTTATAAATACTGCTCACAGATTCAAAGCATTAGTTTTTGGATTCTCCTGATTGTTAGAGCTAGTTATTAAATATCTCAAAGTTCTTTTAGTTGATTATATTCTATGTTTAACTCTTTGCGAATCATGCTTTGCAGGCCTACACCGGGATCTTAAATTTCATCGAGTACATGGGCAGCTCCATTCCCATGGTTCTTTACAATAACCAGGTTAGTGTTCTTGCCTAACCCCCATCTCTCTTCACTTGAAACCTTCCCATAATTTAGTCCCACACAATATATTTTGGTCAAAACTTGGTTAAGGATCAGTAGGTCATTTGTTGGCTAAAGCCTCAACGCACAGCACTAGTGGATTAGGTTGTAGGTTATTGTGCCGTTTATCCGTGAGATAATTGACTTGTCACATCTATAGGTACTACGGTACGTGTACTTCCACTGAAATGAAATCTAGATGCGCAAGTTTCAGACATGAAATGAGAACTCCTAAGATGCATATGTTTTCCAATAATCTCTGAACCAAGATTTAACAAAGAGAAGGATCTCGTCTCTAAATAATATAGTTCCATAAGTGATAACCGTAAACCAGGCTCTTTGATATTGTAGCGAGAACTGAATCAACACCTTGCTAACGTTTAATACCGGTTTGCAGGAACTTATAGTGACGGCTACAACGGCTTTGATGCTCTATGTTATGGCCTCGTATTACAGATAATGCGAGAGAGCCTACCGGAGACTTTATCTATCAGAAGGTTTTGCGAGAAGTTTTTGCTGTATAGCCTGTGGCTGTGAGATGTTACCAGTTGAGATGAAAAGTTTCTTTCTTTGGGAGAGATGGGATTATCTTTATGATGTTTTGTGGAAAATCAAGTTAAATTTAGCTGAGAATCGCATGTTGAAGATGAATAGGGATGGTATGGACCTTGGTCAAGTTTTTTTTTAGATTGGAGCCTTAATATGTTGATTAGTTATGATGATTAATATGGCAAGGTATACTATTGAAACATCTTTAGCTTATTCATCTTTAGAATTTGAGAAGAAATCTTCATAAAAAGCTTTTGAATAAAACCTAGTTACAGAGATTTCTTGAACATTATCAGTAGGTAGCTAAGGTGTTACGTACTATGAAATAATTGAAAGCAAAAGGATGATGGTATTGGAATTAAGTTTTGCCTCAAAATTTGATTGTATCCAGATTACCAAGGGTGTCTCAATGGTGAAAGTGCATGAATAAATGGAAAAATATGTCCGGTGTACTTTTCTGTAGTTTTGAATGATATAAACAAATTTGTCACCAATCCTGAC